CAAAGGATTGGGGTGGAGTTTGATTTGGGGGGCTAGGGGGAGGGGCTGTCGCAGGGAGGCTGGAAAGTAAGCGCCTTAGGAAAACGAGCTCTTTCCACGGCAGGGACCTCAGAGCCTCCCTCCCTCTGTGCTCGGAGGAAGCATCAAAAGATCCTCTCTGCTCAAGCAAACTTCACCCTGAGCTTAAAGGGACCGCTCGCCCAGATCCTGGGACTAGTCTCCCCGCCCTTCATAAACTTGCAGGGGAGGATGTACCGCAGGGCAGGATATTTCATTTCCAGAAAGAGAGAGGAGAAAAAAGATCTGACTATCCTTGGGCAGCAAGTGGCAATGGTCAAAGTTTTAACAGAAACCTATTAAATGTCTATAACATTATAAACGTACATGTATTAGCAAATGAGGTTCCCTCTATTGGGGTGTGTTAATCATACAGAATTCTATCACAGCACTAAATTTCACTAATCCATTCTATAAGGTGATTAAAATAAAATGCTCTAGCAAGGTTCCTATTGTCTAACAACTTTTATAGGCCTGCCTCATAAAGCAAAGCTTTCAGTTCTGCTCAGGTTTCTAACAGATAGAAATGTAAACCAAGCTGGCTCTGAAACTGGCTTTCCACACCCACTACCCTGCAGATCCTTGCTGGACTGATTAAGTTATTGTTTCAGAGGGGTAGCTGTGTTAGTCTGTAACTGAAAAAACTTATTTTTTAAAAATTATTGTTTGTTGGGATTCCTCAGGCAACCTTTTTTGATATTCGTGACCTGCTCTGGTTTTCTGTGTTAGAAGGTTTCAAGGTCATGCTGAAATTCTGGTGGAACTAAATTAAACCCATGACCCCTGACATTATAAGCTTGATCAAACATTCTTGTTCATCTTGTTGTAGCCCCTTTAACTAATAAGAAGAGATCAGTGAACCCTTGATAAATGATCTGAGAAAAAGGGTGAGGTATGAAAAGACATCATGTAGGGGAACAAATTACAGCCTGTTTCCCTCTAGTTTTGTATACGGGTATTTGGGAGTCTAATACTACTTAGAGGTCACAAGTCTCTTTGGACTCCAGTAAATCCCATAAAGTTGAAAACCTAGTGCAACTTTTATTCCCTCTATTATAATACTAGACTAGATAAAACAGTAGGCATAGACTTTATGGAACAATCCTGCATTGGCAGGGGGATGGATTAGATACCTCATGGCTGTTTTCCAGCTCTATAAGTAAGTGGGACTATGTGCTAATGTGATTTTACAATTCTTAGCATAAAACCCTCCCCCTCCCCCATGTTCTGAAACTATACTTTTGGAAAAGATTTCAGACTGTGAAAACATAATCTCCCAGTTATGTCTTTCAATCTAGAGTCCAGGTGTAAATGTATTGACCTCACACACCTATTTCTGTAGGAAGAGAACTTCACTAATTATTAAAAAATCCCAGTAATGAGGTAGGAAGCCACAGCTGCAGAATGACTGCCAGCACATCTCTTGGAATGGGTGTTACAGGCAGAGGAAGAAATGTGCTTGGGGAGAAAAACAAATGCCAGGATTCTAGCAGGAAGGAACATGATAACCATAAACTGCATGTGTGGAAAGAGAATCCTACTAATTTAGGCCCTGATCCTGCAAAGACTTATCAATAGAACTATTCATATTGGTTAAAGTTAAGTGTGTGCATAAATTTTTGCAAAACTGGAGCCTAAAGTTCTGAGATAAGGTTGTGCATCACCTATAGGGATGGGCCTTGGAACATTTGGTGTGGTAGAACAGCTCAGGCCTATAAGACAAATACAATATGATGGGTGAACAACTCCCCTATATGCACCCAGGTATGGGGTTTTGAGATTTCTGAGAATTTAACTCAGCGCTTCATCCAAAATTCTGTTACCTAAATCTTCCATTGACTTCAGCGAGCACTGGCCCTAACTTTCCCAGGGTATACTATTGGCGAGTTGGGAGTCAGCCAGATGTGTGGCCCCTTGCAAACCCACTGCCTTTTCATTTCAGATGATGTGGCCTTAATCTCACAAGCTAAGCAGAAACAGGCCTGCAGACCTCCATGAAATGTAGTAGAACAGGCCTCGAGTCACAAGGTTCAATGGCTAGACATTGAAGCCAGAGTCATTCAAATGAAAAAAAGAATGAATTGTTCAGTGAGGGTAACACTGGGAAAGCTTCACAAGAGACACTCCATCACTTGAAGACTTTACATCAAGATTGCTTCCTTTCTGAGAAAGAGGTTCTAGGAATTCAACTGAGATTGTCAGCTTTGATTTGATGCCAGAATAACAGTCTGACGTTCCATGGTGTGTGTTACGCTGGGGCTCAGAGTAGTTAGTCATTGTGATTCCTTCTGTTCTTATTACCTCTGTGTGTGTGGCGGGAGGGGGGGAAGCATGGTGCTGTGGGAAGTGGTGTTGGTGTCAGGTTTTACTCAAAGTCAGAACTGAACCCATTTCCCTACCTGGTGTCAGGAAAAGCCATGTTGGTAGGGTTCATTCTTTCAGATGAGATATTCAAGGTTTCCTGATCACCGGTGATGATTAAAGACCTCCCAGGCATTTCTTTCGAAGAGGAGGGATGACTGACATGGTGTCCTGGCTGGATTGCTGTATAATATGGTTTAGCTTATTCCTGAATTCCCATATTGCTACAGTTGGATAAGAAAGTCTTTACCATGCCAGGACTCTAAACAGTTCTTTATCAAAGCTGCCCTGTGTTCTGCCATTGAGCTAGTTGAGTCATGAGGGTGGATTAATTTACCTCTATATAATAGGTCTGTATGGTGGAATTTTCAAAAGTACCCAAAGGTGTCTGACATCCAGTTCCTATTGACTTTCAGTGGGAGGTGGGTAACTTTTTGAAGAGGCCTAACCATAACTTGTCATTTGAAAAAAGGAACACTATAGAAATTAATGTATAGTAAAAATAAAAATGTATGCTGAGCTTCTGCCTGACTCTGTCTGTAATCCCCTTTTCATGATCTGTTCTTATGGAAAAGTCCACTGGAATGTAATAGTCATTAAACTAATAGGATTTGTATAGGTATCATCAGCTACTACATTATATAGACCTATAGGCTACGTCTACACTGGCATGATTTTCCGAAAATGCTTTTAACGGAAAAGTTTTCCGTTAAAAGCATTTTCGGAAAAGCACATCTAGATTGGCAGGATGCTTTTCCGCAAAAGTACAACTTCCGCAAAAGCACTTTTTGCAGAAAAGCGTCCATGGCCAATCTAGACACAGTTTTCCGCAAAAAAGCCCCGATCGCCATTTTCGCGATCGGGGCTTTTTTGCGGAAAACTGTGTCTAGATTGGCCATGGACGCTTTTCTGCAAAAAGTGCTTTTGCGGAAGTTGTACTTTTGCGGAAAAGCATCCTGCCAATCTAGATGTGCTTTTCCGAAAATGCTTTTAACGGAAAACTTTTCCGTTAAAAGCATTTTCGGAAAATCATGCCAGTGTAGACGTAGCCTATAGGTCTATATAATGTAGTAGCTGATGAGATCCTTTCAATAGGTTTTTGGAACTGTCCTGTAGTATTCTTTAGCAAGGATGGAATTTTTTATTCGGTTCTGATGGGTGGTTCAAGAAAGACTATGTCAAAATTCGTATTTTCTACTGAAGTCCCATTGTGCCCTGTATTGTGCATTGCATCTGTATTTTAGAGAGTCTGTGACCATTACATATTGCATGCTTTATGGATTGTAATACTCAGATACAGTACAAAGCACAAAGACTTCCCTTGGCGCTGGGTCCATGCAGCAGGGTGCAATTGCATTTTCTGTACTCCCCAAAGCATAAGGATTTAGCGCCCCTGGGATGCAGAATCCCATAGAGGGGAGAAGATATTGGTCAGGTATTTGCCACCTTACACACCAGCCAGCAGAACTGACTGGCTGAATATTTGACTCGCTCTGGAGTTTGGGGAGGAAGGATTTTTGCTTGAAGCAGGTTATCTCCCCATGGTCCCCCAGGGATGGGTCTTAAACCTAGAGTGATACTTCAAAGTTTTTAAAAGCTCAGAGATTTAGCCACACGACTTTCATTAAAGATAACAGCACTTGTACAACTAAGAATCTGTGAGACGGACAATTAGAGAGCCCATTTCCTCGTGTTGAGGATGCAGCTAAGATACTTAGCTACACTCAGTGATGTCTAATGTCTCAGACCTTTTGGTAATAAAATAAGAGCAAGAGAAACATGCATACATTCAGATATATTGATACACATTTTTGGAGTTTTCTTAATACCAAATATTAACTCAGTCATTTAGATGTAGAGGAATGGTTAGCCTGTGGCTAAGTCTAGGAATCTGCAAAATTATACAAGTGTGAAAGGAAGCTTTTGAATTAGTAAACTCCTATGGGTGTTTTTTTAAATAAATATGTTTCATTCCTATAACTTGAATGGAGTGTTTCTGAAAATTTATTAAATACAAAATTATTCCCCAGATTTTATACAGCTATTTTTAGCCCTGACTGAATTTTTATGGGTCTGATCGACCCTGGAATATTGGGATTCATAAAGATAACAAAAGATTGGTTGTCCATACACAAATTTTTATGAGCACTATATGGTTAAAAAAA